GACGTTGCTTGCTTGACCATCGTGCACGGTTATGAGAACCTAGCCTTAGCTTATCGCGTAACGTGCCTTTAAAGGCAGTGGACACGACGGCTGCGGCAGGCACTACCTGCAAACGACATTGGTGGAAGGGGTAAGTGGGGTAACTGTAAACGCTTTCTCGCAGCCCTTAAATCAATGACGCTGGTAATAATCGCCCGCCTCCAGCAATCGTGCCTACAGCCTTTGCACAGTGTCCGCCACATAGTACAGTAACCACAAAATCTTGAGGAAGTGATCGGCGCAATTAGTCTTCGCGACAGTAACATGACTCGTATGTTTGTCTGCTGGTCGAACATGAGTTTCAGGTGCTGTTCGACCTAGTGAGGAATGGTTGTAACACCAATTGCGGTCGGTCTCAGTCCTGTAACTTTCTCTAAAAAAAACACAGCACAAAAGCAGGGGCTTCCTTTTCATCTGACAAGATTCCATAGGCTTCACACAGGTAAATTGACAGGAAGTAGCAACTAATGGGAATTCGAAATGCCCTCCCAAGCCGAACAGCGCGCACTTCAAAGTGAAAACATTTTTTCACTCTTATTCACTACTAGTGAGAAGTACTCAGTCGAAAGCATGAATAAGGCAGAAATAATAACTACCTCCAAATGTGTCAGCAACCACTTCCTGACCAGCTACGTTAACATTTCTTTCATCATGGACAGGGAATTTCTCGTTGATTGTTTCAGAATCAAACTTCCTGCCCAAGAATCTATCATGCTGAACAAACAATTAAATAAGTGGGAAGAGCTGAAGAATAAAGCATTATAACCTCATCACAATCCAATCTGTTGTTAGTATTTTTAACTGTCGACTCTTGTGCAGGGGAAAGCTCGTGCTTCACAGGTTCATCCGACAGCGGCGTCAGCGGAGTATTGGTAGGAGTTGCGGCCCTCTGTGCTTTGGAATGCTTTTCATCGGAAGACGGCGGAAGGTTCGCACGAGCTCCCTGCAAGGAATTTACTTTCTTGGGAACGCACGCAATATTTAGAAGCTGCAAGATACGCAAGGAAGGAATCATAGCAATACCATACCCAGCAACAAACAAAATTCTAAATCTCATTCATTTAAAACAATAATACCTCCTCTTCAGGCTGCTTCGGTTCCCATGCATTCTCCTCATAAGCTTCTACCTAAATAATCTACTATGGCAAGAATGCGGGGCGCTATTCGGTCGGGAGGGGCATTTTGCACTTTCGCTACTTCCTTTTGCTGGCTACTTGTGAATTACGCATATCACCTTTTTGAGCCCTGTTAAGAGTGAGCTGAGGTCATCCGCGTGGCTTTGCAGCCAGGTAGCCATCGTTGTGATCAACACAAGGGGGGGGGGTCGTACTCGGTCATTTTTGGGAAGGGAGGGAGGTCGTATTTGGTCAGTTCACGGACGC